CTGAAGACACTACTGATCAGTGAACTCATAGACTCGTCCTGTCCTGACCACAGTGCTGGGTTTCAAGGTCTTATTGACACAACCACCGTGGGCTTCCTTCCCCTGTCCATCAGGAAGTGCCTCCAGACACTGCTGACCTTTCCCTCCCTGCAAACCACTCAGCAGTTGCTGACTGGGCCTGGCCTGACAAGCAAGGGCTTCGACGTGGTCGTGTTGTTTTTACTCTTTAACATTGATTTTGTTGGTGTTTCCAGCAAAACTGAAACAGAAAGATTCCCCCGTAACATCCTGTTGCAATACTGTTCAGAAAAAACTGTGCTGTCGCTTTTCGTTTTCAGCCAAGGATTAGAAAACTGGAATTTTTACTCTTTAACATTGATTTTGTTGGTGTTTCCAGCAAAACTGAAACAGAAAGATTCCCCGGTAACATCCTGTTGCAATACTGTCGAGAAAAAACTGTGCTGTCGCTTTTCGTTTTCAGCCAAGGATTAGAAAACTGGAATGTTAGCTCAAACCTTAGGTCAACTACAAACCCACAGTGGGATCTGGCTTGTGTGGTTCGCATTCTCCAGGTAGAGCCAGCTTGTGACCTGGGTAGTCCCCGAGACCACACACTCAGCAGGGCTCGCCTGTGCTCTGATGCTCTGCTGTGGCCCTCCTGAAATTCAAACAAGAGGCCCCTCGTTTGCATATCGTACTGGGCCTCATAAACTAGGTACAACTATGAGAAAACTATGGGGTCCAGTTATGGGAAAACTTCCATCCTCAGGGAGTGGTGCTCTGATGCTCTGCTGTGGCCCTCCTGAAATTCAAACAAGAGGCCCCTCGTTTGCATATAGTACTGGGCCTCATAAACTAGGTACAACTATGAGAAAACTATGGGGTCCAGTTATGGGAAAACTTCCATCCTCAGGGAGTCTACAATCCAGGGCAGGCAGGTGGGAGAAGAGCCCGTTTTGATTCAGTGTACTAAATGCTCCTGCTTCAAGAGAATTAAACACACAGGCGGAGTGTTTACTCTGGCAAGGATTAGTGGGGGTTATGGTGCTGTGGGGTGTGGGGCTGGGGGAGGCTGCGAGGGTGAAGAGTGGGAAAGATGGGGTTTCTGAGTAGAAGGAGGAAAATGCAAAGCCCCAGAGGTAAGACAGAGTGTAGAATAGTCAGGAAGCTACAAATAGTCCTGGGAGGGTAGAGGGTTGCCATGGTGAACTGGCAAAGGAAGGAGAGGAGAATGAGTTCCATCAGGAAATGCCTTGTTAGCTCTTAGAAAGGACTTTCTTTATCCTAAAAGCGATGGGGAACTACCAAAGCCGATCACAAGGCCCAGGTCCTCCCCTGCCTGGGCACGCAGCTGGACCACATGTTCAAGGCTCTTTGCAATCAGCAATGAGGCTGAATTCCCGCCAGCAGAAGGCAGGCAGACGTGATGTGAGCCATGTCCCTGTGCTGCCCTCCAGCTCGCTCTTCTGCAGCATCTGTAGAAGGCGGGTATTGGATGGGGGAGGATCTTAGGTCTCTGAGTCACCACGTGGAGCAGCCATTTTGACTTCATGTGAACAAGAAATAGGTTTCTACTACGTTAAGCTACTGAGACTGCAGGTTTATGTTGTAGCAGCTAGCATTACCCAGATTTACTTTCAGGAAAGACCTCTCTGCCAGTAATGTGGAGAATGGGTTGGAGGGGTCAAGAAGAGGAAGGAAGACAGGTGAGGATGCTTTTTCAGGAATCAGCTGAACATTAATGGTGGCCCCAAAGCAGCATCAAAAGGTGCCATCTAAATTTGCATGATGGAGTGACAGAGAGAAGATGTCCTGTTGCCTGGCTTGGGCAACTGTGTGGATTGTCTCATCTCTCAGTTTAATCCAACTGATAATTAATAGAGTACCAGACACTGGGCTGTGTGCCCAGTATGCACAACTGATGAAGGGAACCTGATTCCTGCTCTGGTGAATCCAGTCCTAGACTAAAAATTAAAGAAGGAGGTTTGGGCAAGTGGACGATGATCTCGGCTTTGGATAAATTGAGATAGAAGTACTGGTTGGGTGTCCACATGCAAGGATGAAATGGGCAACTGGAGATGTGGGTCTGGAGCTCAGGAGAGAGATCTGAGCTTAACATCCAGACCTGAAGCTCATCAGCTCTGGGCTGGCTGTCAGGCCATGGAAGTGGACCATACCATCTTGGGAAAAAGCGCCTGGAAGAGGGCCCAGGCCAGCCCTGCTAGGGATAGCAACCTTTAAAGAACAGATGGAGGAAAGAGTGGGACGATGAGACTAAGCCCGAGAGACCAGGAAGGTAGAAGGAAGATCAGGACTCCAGGCAGAGAGTATTCTGAGGAAGAAGTCTCAAACAGTGTCACACTCCTGAGAAATCAGGTGTCTACCAAATTTAAAAATGAAGAGGTGAGCATTTAGTGCAATGATGGAGCACAGGCAGATTAGAGCCGGCCAGGTAAGAAGTCAGCAGTAAGCATTCACAAACTGGAAGCTAAAAGATTGCTAAATTTGACTACATAAACACTTTTCTTTATAATTTTACATGATGAAAACACCATAAACAAGATAAAAGGCAAATAAGAAACTAGAAACATATTTATAATTCATTTCGTAGACAAATGGCTAATTTCTTTAATATATGTAATGTTCCTACTTATCCATACATAACAGATCTACAACACTAGAGAAAAATATGGGCAAAGTATAAGTTAGTTCACAAAACAGGAAATAAAAATGGCTCTTAAATGTAGTTAATTCAATTTAAAAAATGAAAGTTTAGAAGAAAAAATAGGTGACTATTTAATTGGTTTCTAAATGAGGAAGTATTTCTAAGAAAGCAAGCAGTGTCAGAAGTCGTAAAGGGGAAAACCTAAACTTGACAAGAGGGGAAAAACCATGTTTACTGTGAAACCATCATAAAAAATTTAAAAGCTAGTAACAGAATGAAAAAGTACATAACACAGAGGGATAATATCTTTAATAAGCAAAGAGAAATGTAAAAATCAATAAAACTAACAACCAAACGGAAAAGTAGATGTGTGGACAGACAATTCCTTGGAGAAGAAATTCAAGAGCCAATGAACACATGAAAAAGTTCTCACCAATAATAAAAGAAATGCAATAAGTGTGTGTCCTGGTATGATACATGATGGCATAGATGTTTATGATTTACATAAAAGGTTTTGGACTGTCTGCCTCCTACCGTCTCTTTTCTGACTCAGCATCCTCTGTGCATGAGACTGGATGTACATTTAGTTTGTACTTTACTTTCTAACTCCTACATGGTACTCCCAAGTGTGCACCACATTTTCCTTATCTACTCCATTTGAGATGGACACCTAGGTCCGTCTCTGCTGCTTCAAATGAGGCTGCAGTGAGCAACCTAGTCCCTGTCCTTTCATGCACTTGAGCAATGACATAACTTGAGCAATGACTTCTGGGAGATGTATGCAGAAGTGAGCCTGCAAGCCCAGAACAAACACTCCCTGAGGTCACTGCCGGATTGTTTCCTAGTTTGGCTGTATCAGTTCATATTCCCATGAAGGCTCCTATTTCCGTACTTCCTGGGTGACCCTAGGTAGTATCCAATTTCCTAACTGACAGCAGTCTGATGGGTGCACAGCAGTATCTCATGGTATTTCATCTGTATTTCTCTGATTATTAATTTACTGCCTTATTCTGTTTGATTTTCAGGAGTTCTTTGTATATCCTAGTATAATTCCTTGTTGATTTTTCATAATATTTTGTTTGTCTGGTTATGGTGTTCTTCATGTAATGGATCTGACATATGCAAACTAAGTAATTTTTCCATCTTTCTTTTTGTCTATTATGAACACTTCTTCTAATTCAAAAACAGTACAGGTGTTGGGACAACTGGATATCTATGTACAAAAGAATTAAGTTGGACCCCTACTACACATCATGTAAAAAATTAACTCAAAATGGATCAACGACCTAAATATAAGAGTTAAAACCATAAAAGTCTTAGAAGAAAAAATAGGGGTGAATCCTCAAGACCTTGCATTTAGCAATGGATTCTCAGATATGATACCAAAAGTGTAAACAACAAAAACAAAAATAAACCGGATGTCATTGAAATTAAAACTTCGGTGCATCAAAGAGCATAATCCAGAAAGTGAGAAGACACCTAAAGAATGGGAGAAAACATTTGTAAATCATTTATATGATAGGGGTCTATTATCCAATATATACAAATAACTCTTAACCTAGTAACAAAAAGACAAACAACCCAATTAAAAATTGTAAAAATGTTTATTAAAGGTCTTCATCCAAGAAAATATACAAATGGCCAATAAGCACATGAAAACATGCTCAATGTCATCAGTCATTGGGAAAATGAAAGTCAAAAACACAGTGAGACACCACTTCACTCCCATTAGTATGGGCATAATTTTCTTAATAAAAAAGAAAAGGAAAAGGAAAATAAGTGTTGCTGAGGATGTGGAGAAAGATTTGAACTCTCATACATTGCTGGTTGGAAAGTCACATAGTCCAGCTGCTGTGGAAAACAGTTCGGTGGTTCCTCAAAAAGTGAAACATAGAATTACCATATGACCTAACAACTCCACTCTTAGGTATATATCCAGAAGAATGGAAAACAGGTATTCCAACAAATACATGTACAGGCATATTCACAGCAGCACTATTCACACATAGCCAAAAGGGGGAAACATCCCAAATGCCCATGAATGGGTGAGTAGATAAAAAAACTGTGCCATATCCATACAATGGAATACTATTCGGCCATAAAAAGGAATAAAGAACTGACACATGCTACAACATGAATGAACCTAGAAAACATTATACCAAAGGAAAGAAGCCAGACACAAAAGGTCACATATTATATGATTCCGTTTATATGAAATATCCAGAATAGATAAATCCATAGAGACAGAAAGCAGACTGGTGGTTGCCCGTGTCTGGAAGGAGAAGGGAATGGGGAGTAACTGCTTAAGGCGTAGGAAGCTTCTTTTTGGGGTGATGAAATTTTTTTAGAAATAGATATAGGTGGTGGTTGAACGATGTTGTTAACATACAAAATGCACTGAACTATTATACACTTTAAAATAGATAATTTTATATTACGTGACTGTCACCTCAATAAAAAAAATTTCTAAAAAAGAAACACAATAAAGTTGGTGATATCTAGCCATTAAGAAAATTACAGAGCTCTCATATGATCAAAGCACTTATCATCACACTTTAAGTCACCCACAGATATGTAAGATATCATCCCAACCCTTGATGAACTTAAGGCCTAGTTGGAGGACCATCTAAGAAAACAGAAGATTAATAAATAAAACAACTACCATAAGAGAAGTGCCCTTAGTGCGCAATGAAAGTTCAAAGATGTACAGCTGGTTATGGAGAAAAGGAAGAAGTTTCCAAAGAAGATGACATTTGAAATGAACTTTAATAGTTAAATAAAATTTTTACTGTTAGCATTGGAGGTAGAGAAATATGATAACATCAAGAAAGGTGAGATTCCCTACAAGAGGCTCACAGGATAAGTTTAAAGACATTACATAGTCCAACCTGGTTGTCACAAAAGCCATCTAAGTGGGGCAGAGATATTAAAGACCAAGTGTCAAAGGACCATGACTTTGTCTGCTTTGCACCCCCAGTGCCTAATGCAGTGTTTAGTACATACTTGGTGATTGGTGAACATGGAAAAATTATAAAATAAAAATGTGCATTAAAGAAACTTTTTTAAAAGTCCAAGCACCAGGAAAACTATATAATAGTAGTAATATCTAGCAGCACGTACTGCTATTGAGAAGGTCAGGTGAAGGCCAGAAAGGAGTGTGTAACTAGAATGAGGTGCATGTGGAATGAATGGGCAATACATTTGGAGCCTCTGCATGCCATCCCATGGGATTTGGACTGAATGTTAAATACAACAGGGAATCATTACAATCTGTTGTCCCATGATCTTGATTAGGCAGCATAAATGAGTAGTCAGTATGGGGTGAGCTGAGTGGAGCATCGTGGAATTAGGCAAGTAAATCGTTCAGATGATGAGGAATCTGCCCTCATCTTTGCACTGGCTTTCCAGGGCCACCCTCATGGAGCTGTAGGGAGGGGACTGGGGACACTGAAAGAAGGAAATGCTCGAGTGCTCTGTAAGTGCACCCCTTATGGAGATGAGAACCTGCCGCAGAACAGAAGGCTATTGGTTCTGTTGTGCCTGATGAAGAAAAGGAAGGGGTGGTCAGCGCAGAACCTGGGCCCATTTTCCATGCAGCACTCTACCACCAGCATGGCAGAAGACGCCACGGCCTCCGTCCCTTCCTCATTCACCTCCACGAAACTCTTGTGCACAAACTTGGACAGACACAGGTCTCTCTCAGCAGACAATGCAGACAAATCAGCCTTGCCCTGTTGAAAGGCATCAACCATTCCCAAACGCCGAAGCACAGATTCCATATCGTAATTCTCTTGCAGATTAAATCTTGGAAGGAGAACTTCAACTTCAGTACTCTCCATACAGTCTGGATCCGTCCAGGCTACGAATTTTTCAAAAGTGAGATTTTTTTCCACCTGAAAGACCAGAATGAGACGTTCAGAATCAGACACCCCTTCCTCCTCCTGCAGTGTCCCCTTTTTCTGCCAGGAAGCTCGTGGCTCTCCTAACCCACGTGCACGCCTCGGACAATCAGGGCAGACACCGAGCAGCCTGGAGGCAGGAAGACTGTGGCCGTCCCCCTCCTTACCCAGCAACTTCTGAGACATCTTTTATTCTGACAAGTGTCAATGCGCAGACGACTATGCTTTTATTATATTATTAACTATGGTTATTTTTGAAGACAGCAAACCGTTGCTGGTAAGAAATAAAAGGTTGGAAACGAAAGGGCTGTCGGTGCGAGCCACCCCAGGAGGGAACCCTGCCTGGGTCGAGACGGCATAGCAGGGGAGGCGGGCAGGGGGAGGGCGGCGGCTGCTCTGCCCCCACGGCGCGGCCCCAGACCCAGGCGCCTGCGCACCGTGCTCTGCAGGCTGGTCCGGCCTCGTCACCCTCCCCGAAGGGCAACACGACAGGTGGCAGAGGCGCTTGAGGTCTGTCCCCCGGAAGGCCCCACCGCCGCTCAGCTCACCGTGGCCAGCTCCACGCCCGGGCCTGGGAGCAGCACGAGCATGCTCAGCTCCCCGCCCTCGTAGGGCAGCTCCAGCACCTGCGCGTGCACCTCGCGGACGTAGGCCAGTCTGAAGGTGGCCTCCTGGGACATCATCTGCACCGGCCTCTGCTCCTCCTGATGAGAATGAGCAGAGCGGCGTGGAATTTTAAACAGCTGATTGACAGAGGCAATAGAAATTTCCAAACGAGCCGCAGTGGCCTCCAGGAGCGTTTTCAGCACTCACAGATGGCGACACTGCTCCTGCCCCAGTTCACCATCACACGTTAGCAGCCAGCTGCTTCCTATCACCACTGAAAGTCATCGGCTGTTAGCAGGTACAGTGCTAGCCTGGCACAGATGTTTCATTCAGCAAAATAAAATGTGTGATACTCTGAATTTTCCAGAGGAGAAAGTAAGATTTTCCTTATTTAAAATATGGTCAGCAAATATATTTAAGGAAATAATACGATCAAATGAAATCAAATCAAAAATTATTTCCATTTAATTTGAAAAAAAATTTTATAAAGTGGGATGAAACTTATAGTTTCACAACAAACAGTGTGACTGGGAATACGGAGGGATGCCCTCTCAGAAAGCGGCCTGGCAACGAGAGTGGAGAACCACATGTATCTTCATGTACTTTAACCCAGTTGTCCCAATTCAGATATTCTCATGTAAGGAAATAATTTTTAAAAAAATACAAAGTAGATATATGCATGCAGAAGTTAAAGTATTACATTCATTAAATCCATTTTTAAAAATTGACATATAACTATTATAAAAATTGAAATAGTTTCTAAAATCAATATAGAAAAGTTCTCCCCCCCCTTGCGACTAGAAAACTGATTTTTTAAAAGTTGTTTAAAGTACACCTTATTTTAAAAAGGGAGGAGGTTTACCTGTATAAGTTTCCTTACTGCGTTAAAATGGTACTTTTTAGAGGGGGGGTTGGCAAAGTATTCTAATGCCTGCCTTAATGAAAGTTATACCTCAATGTCAAGACTAAGGTCACTCAGTTTTAACATTAGAGAGCTATAAATACTAAATTAATAATGGCAAATTAATTAAACAACTCAAATCAATACTTCTTTTAATTTTTTTAAATAGCTAAGTAAATCTTTAATATTTCTGACTGCAAATGTACAGAATAACACAGCCACACAGAGTATTTTAATTTTTAAAATACCTGATTAAAGAAATGTGTTTGCACATCCTCTCCCTCAACCCTGCCCTGCTCTTCCCTCTTTTTCTGACTGCAAATGTACAGAATAACACAGCCACACAGAGTATTTTAATTTTTAAAATACCTAATTAAAGAAATGTGTTTGCACATCCTCTCCCTCAACCCTGCCCTGCTCTTCCCCCCACATCATATTACCTTAACACCTGGGTTTTTTTGCTTTCTATTTAAGCAATTTAGACTTAAAGGAAAATCTTTAGTTTCCAGAACTAGGTGGCAACAATGAATGTATGAGAAATTCTCAGAGGCAGTAAGAGCAGTAGTAAAATGCAAAAAAATTACAGGCGGCAAATATTTTTTATTCCTTCAATTTTTTCTACTGAGTTTAAAAATTAATTCAGAAATATGTTTCACATTATTTTAAACTTTTATGCTTTTACAAAATTAAACTTTTCCATTCAATTTCTTCATCAGACTAGCATGATTTTTTAAAGCTTCCCCTCACCTGGTTTATCTTAAAAGGCATTTCCCTTGTGTATTCTTTGTCGAACTGTTCGTTCCACCTTCCTTTGAAGTAGATGGCATTGACAAGGACCAGCCTGGTCTGTGCATCGATTGAGTTACCCGGCAACAACTCCTGAATCTTATCTTTGGAGAAAGGAAGAGACTGCATGCAGTTGCTTTTTATAAACATGTGATGAATAAACCATGATGCATCTTATTGGCAGATCTTAGATTATGAGTCAAGAACCAAACATTCTGATTTCTAATTTGCTGAGTTTGGATTGCTATGTACAGAAATAAAAGAACACATATGAGTGGTATTCACTCATCCACCAAGATGAGGATGATAAAAGACTGCTAAGTTTCTCAGGGAAAGAAACTCCACAGCATGTTAGAGAACAAACCAAGCAGGAAATGAGAGTGGGGCTGGAGGGGCCGCAGTTACCGCGTGTGGTTGAAGGGCGTGTGTGATCTTGCACTCCACGCTCACACCCACTGCTAACGTTCTGTGACTGCATCACAGGCAGCCAGAATGAAGGGCTCAAAGGGGGAAGAACTGGCAATGAGGACATGAGGTGCTTCTGGAAGCCTCTGGAAGAGATATTACTGTTAGATCTTCTAAACAAAGCACCAGCTATCCCTGGAAAATATAATGTGAACAAGCGAAGATACTCCCTTCTTCCCCTGGATATCAAGTGGTGCCTTTGCAGCAAGCTAAGAGCATCCCTGCTAATTCACTGCCTCAAGAGAGCTTAAGCGGTAAAGATTCCAAGAAGAAATGGTGGAAATAATTGCTTAGTCTTTAAGGAAACAACACCTCTCATTCTTCACTGTCTCTTCTATTAGTAGAAATAGAAGTGTCCTGGTGGTACTAAGCATAATTAGTGCAGAGCAGTATAGTTCAAACATCCGACCCACCATTGAACTTGGGGGCCAAAGTTGGAACATATCACTCTGAAATAGAAACGAATGGGGTTCAACCCCAAATGGAGGGTGTTTTCATTATATGGAAATGATCAGCCCGGAGAGGGGGTCAGCAGATGACCAGTCAAGTACAGGTTTATCAAGTCTGATCAAGGGAGAGGAAGTGGAAGATGTGAAAGAAGCAGAAGAAACTTCGACACGTAAAGGCAGTGGCGATGGAGGTCCCGCAGAATTTAGGAAGAGGCAGCCCAAGTGTAGGACTCAGGGAAGATCTGTCCATCAATCTCCTTCTCGTGGTGATGTTACAGTCACCTTACATGTGAACATTACAGGTCAGCGAAAGTATGTTTTAATGCAAATTATTAAACTGGAAATCAGTCATATGAGGTTCTTTGGAGGTTATTTGTATTAGCCACTCTAGTCCTGGGAGAATAGACAAAATTAAGTGTCTTTAGAAACCTGAACGTCTGAGCGGGACTTTGTGAGTCCACTAAGGTTCACGTATTCCACTTGCCCAGCCAGTCAAGGTCACTCTGACCACCTGAAACATCAGTAAGTAAAGTCAGTCAGGCAGAGAGAGACAAATACCGTATGATATCACTTATACGTGGAATCTAAAAAAGAAAAGAAAAAAGCGGTTCTCGTAGAAGTAGAGAATAGTGGTTGCCAGAGGAGGGGGGGAGGGGGGGAGGGGAGGGAGAAGAGGATGAAGGAACTCATAATTCTGACCTTCAGTCTTTTTTGAGATCCAAGAGTTTATATGTTTCCTGGACTCCTCTGCAGCTTTGACAAAGGAAAGCTGCTCCAGCTCAGCGTGGTAGAACTGAAGACAGGATTTCTTAAATGTCTTTGGAGAGAAAAGTGTTCAGTGAGGCTATATTGCTAAATAAAATGTCAGCAAGCTTCCCAAAATTCTGCATATTATATCCTTTTTTAAAATTAAAAAGAGCATATCCCCTAAAAGTGATCACTTAGTATACTAGATGTTAAAATATCAGGGTTTGTAAACAGGTATGTATAACCATATCTGAATAACCAGAGATGAATAAATGAATTATAGAAGTAGTCAAATTTTATTTATTTATTTTTTTTAAAAAGATGACCAGTAAGGGGATCTTAACCCTTGACTTGGTGTTGTCAGCACCATGATCACCCAGTGAGCTAACCGGCCATCCCTATATGGGATCTGAGCCCGGGGCCTTGGTGTTATCAGCACCACACTCTCCCGAGTGAGCCACGTGCCAGCCTACAGAAGTAGTCAAATTTTATTTATTTATTTTTTTTAACAAGATGACCAGTAAGGGGATCTTAACCCTTGACTTGGTGTTGTCAGCACCATGATCACCCAGTGAGCTAACCGGCCATCCCTATATGGGATCTGAGCCCGGGGCCTTGGTGTTATCAGCACCACACTCTCCCGAGTGAGCCACGTGCCAGCCTACAGAAGTAGTCAAATTTTAAGTACTGCAAGGTATAATTACAGAATTGTGTTCTTTTTTAAAATAGTTCACATAAGTTTCCAAATTCCTCTAGGGTCTTCTCCTGGACTCTACAGCACCAGGGATTTTGAACACAACTTTTATTTTCGGGTTGATATGACTTACTGAGAGGAATTCACAAGTTTTCTCTCCAAAGAGCCTGTTGGCCATTCTAAGCAAGTAGCAGGTGCCAGGTTTGTTCAGTTCGGTGAGGAGTGACTGGAAACCCTGATGAACGTCTTCCTCTGGGTTTAAAGAAAGCACCTATTGAGAAAAATAACCAAAAACATCAATAATGCTCTTTGGTTTCAAAATAAAAATTTGCAAGCAAATTTTTTTTCTCAAATACTTCATAAAATTATCCTTTGAAAGGGGTTGTTTTTATTTTGACAGTATTTAATGCACACTAGGAAAGGGGCACTGGCAGGTGGGTGGAGAGAGAAGAGGGAGGGAGGACAGAAAACAGGCGAGGAAAAGATTCGGCTATTTTTCCTGAATAGATCTCTCCTGCTTAAAGATGAGTAACAGGAAAAGATGAAAAGGGCAAGAGAGATTCAGGATGGGAACTATCATAAAATCCAGCATCCCAAGGAAAGGATGATGTGCCTTAAATAGAGGAAAACTTACTTCTAAAATTTATCCCCCCCAAAAGCCACAATGCAGTTAAAAGCACTAAAAATGCAAGGAAGAGTGGACACAAATACAATCATAATGGGACCCTTCAGAAGGAAATAAAGGTATAAAATTAGCAATATGACTAATAATACTAAACCATAGCTATTAAAATTGTACCCTAGAGAGACAACATAGATATTTTTTAAATTCGACTTTACTATTTCAAAAACTGCATTATATTTTAGGTCATAAGGAAAGTCTCAGTTGATTCTGAAATACAGAAATTACACAGGCTATATTCTCTGACCTCAGTGTTGTAAACTAGAAATCAATAATTATAAATAGAACAGCAACAACATGGAAATGAGTCTTCTAAATAACTGTTGAGGTTAGCTCAGCCAATTAGAGGTCAGTGTTCTAATGCCAGGGTCAAAGGTGCGGATCTCCGTACTAGCCAGCCGCCAAAAAAATAAAAATTAAAAATAAATAAATATTGAAAACACTTTTCTATATAAATCTTATAAGGAACCATTAAAATGCTCTTCTAAATGACTAATGCGTCTAAATAATTATTTAAAATATTCTTCTAAATAACTATATGACAGATGATTTAGAAAATAATCGAAATAGAAGTGCAATATGTCAGACCAAAGGGTTTGGCCCAAGATAAACAAAAACATAGCATTAACAGTTTTTAATATTACCAAGGAAATAATGAAATGACAAAACTTTCAACTCATGATGTTAGAAAAGGTACAGAAGGGCCGGCCTGTGGCTCACTCGGGAGAGTGTGGTGCTGATAACACCAAGGCCACGGGTTCGGATCCCATATAGGGACGGCCGGTTCGCTCACTGGCTGAGCATGGTGCTGACCACACCAAGCCAAGGGTTAAGATCCCCTTACCAGTCATCTTTTTTTTTTTTAAAAAAAAAAAAGGAAAGAAAAAGAAAAGGTACAGAAAAATTCCTAAAGAATTTGAGAAAAATATAAAATGGTTAATGAATCCAAGAGTTGGTTCTTTAAAAAAAACATACATGCACACACCCAAAACAGACAAACATCTGGAGAATGTAAGAAAAAATAATTGAAAGCACCCAAAAGGAAAGTTATAAATGAAAAAGACGGTACAGGAATGAATACAGAGGAAATGTTAAAATAATGAAAACTGTGTATAATTATTTTCAGCCAAGCGTAGATTGCGACTTACCAAATGGAAGTCAAGAATGTGACTTTACCAGCAGCAATGAAGAAACAACCAAAGATAACAGAAAACTACTTCTAAAAGGGCTCCCATGGTCTTTTGAGGGAATTTTTTCTAATATTCAGGAAATTTATACTTGTCATGCAATACACACTGTTCTATAACATAGAAAAAGATAGAAAACTACTGAATTCATTTTATAGAGATAAGAAAATGTCAGAACTAGAACAACAGTGAAAGCTGAAAGCAATGTCACTGTGGACTGTGACCCCACCATTACTGTTAATGGCTAAGACATCCAGCACTTGCTTTACTGGGATTATCTCACTGAATCCTCACGTTAACTGAAAGAACATTTATAAAAGTAAAGATACGGTATGATCACCAAAGTATAAAATTTAAAGGCAAAATAGGAAACTAGGACTGGAAGAAAATGCTTTACATTATGAAAGGCAGTGGTCTCTGTGTGATGGGTCCATAGGGGCTTTTCCCCTTCTTCCCACTTCCATCTTTTAAGATTTTTATAATGAGCTCTTACCACTTATATAGTGAAAGAGAAACAAATCATTTTTACAAATATGTCTGCTGCTATTAGAGCTTCCCTCCATGTGTGAGTCGCGTGCTGGGTGCCTTGTTACTATCTAGTGGAATGCAGGAGGCGTGAGGAACTCCCAGCATCACCCCTCATGAAGAAACCAGACAGTCGGGGGCTCTCAAAGAAAAGCTTCCTGTAAGGATTTAAAGTGAGCCTAAAACGAAAGTATCATAGAGATTTAAGCAAAAAAAAAAAAAAATACTTCCCTCTACACATAAACCTCACTCCCTCACACAATGTGCTGGGAAATTATTAAAATGAGTAATTGTTACTCAAAGGATGCTCAATGGAAAAGAAAGTCATATTGAAATAAAAAGCAACAATGACTAACACCCTGCAATGAAGGTGTGCGTAGGGTCCACTAACGACACAAGCTTTTAGATTTGGTCTTAGTCATGTTTCTCTGGCCCACTCTGTAAACCCTGGGGAAAAGGACAAATTCTTAATCATTTCCAGATATTCACTGAATGTTAAACTGACTTAACTAGTGCATACACAGTCATACACGTGTAATCAAGTACATGCCTCTTTTTCTACATGCCTTTTTTTCTAAAGTACATTTCTTTTTTCTAAACATGCTTGTTTCTATTTATTCCCTTACTGAGCTAGGAAGGCATGTAGGTATAGAGACGATTTGAAACAGGTATTAACCTTCCTTACCAGTGCATGATGATAGCTACTGTGAAAGTTGTCAGAATCAAAAGGCAGTCACTTGAGTCAACCTGACAAATGGAGCTGGGGAAAGCCATGAAGGGAGGGTTCTCATGCATATATACCTGATGATGAGAACTAGCACAAAGCCTCTGCAAAAACCACAACTTTGCACAAAGGCCATCACAACCTTACACACACACACACACACGCATATACTTCTACAAGGACATCTGCCCAGCAAATGCTGGTCTAACCTTGGGCTGGTGCTGCCCTTGTTCTTAGCGCTTGCAGCCAAGGATGATTGTCTCAAAATAACTTAAGTAACTCTTCTCATTTTCCCTTTAAAAACCCTTGTCTTCCTTTACCTCCCTGAATATGCCCACCATATTCCCATTGCAACACTTACTGTCAAATAAACACCATTTTCTTCTAGAAAGCCTCTCTCTCTATCTGTTATTTAGGTTTTGACAGCAAAAGGTTTTGGAGCAAAAGTCTTTTGCTCCAAGAAGAGATAGATCCTAGCAACTGTGTTTCAAATAACTTCAGCATCCTTTTCTAAACAAAGATAAAGTGCCAGGACAAAATTCTGAGAGTTGTCTCCAGGTTAATTGGGAAAATTTCCCCCTACCCCCCAAAAAATCATTCCGTAGAGGAGACCCCTTGCCTTCCTTCCCCTTTGCAACTTCTTCCCTAGTCCACCCCACCTCCCTGAAATGGTGTGTGCATGCACTGAGCCCCACCCTCCATCAGCAGTTCTGGAGTGAAGCTGGTGACAGAACACAGCAGCTGCAAGCCAGTCCCTCCTGGATGACAAGTCAGCTTACCTGGGACATCTGGGCTGCAGTGTTTCCCCTTGCTCCCAGGAGGACCATGGCCAGGGCAGAGGAGATGCTCACAGGAGAATAAAACAGGTTGTGCGAAGGGTTGTCTTGACACAGTATCTTTAAAAGGCTGATGGCAAAGGTGCCATTTGCTTCAGAAAGAGTGTCCATGATGCAGGGTCTGGAATCAAAGAATAAAGACTGATGCTGCTTCAGCACACCCTGAGTGTTTATGACCTAGCCCATGGCAGTTTTAGAATGGTACTTTTTGTTTTTATCTCAAAGCTCACACATATTTTAAGTTGGAGGAAAATCCACTTACTGTCACTCTCCATCCAAAAAATAAGCCCCAGTTTTTAAGGTTATTAGCTAAGTGTGGTAGTGGCAGCAGACTAAACCAGCTTGAGAGCTTCAGGAAAATCAACAGAACTAGCTTGCCCACAGGCAGACAGACAGAGACACACATACATACAAAGAGGACACAGCTGCACGTGGTAACCTCTGATCCCTTCCCATGAGGACCAGCTCCTCCCCTCTGAGGAGCAGGAGGACAGTACCCAGAGTGATGAATGTCTAGTTCTCTGGCCTGGCCTCCCCAACACTGCTTATTCCTGCACACATCTGTGAAGAGTCCTTGTGAGATCGTCAGTTGCACACCAGGCCGTGGCCTCCCTCTCTCAGCTGGTAGACACGAGGTACTGAGATGCTGAATGGCACCCAGAGACAGGCTGAAGTTACTGCAAAATCATCTGTGAGGCAAGGAACTTTCCTCTGTGGTGGCTGCCCAGTGGGCCGTCTGCCTCCTTCAGAGCAGCCCTCACTCCTGAGGATGTCCTGGCCCCAGGCTGGCATCTCCTGAGTCCCACAACCTCAGAGTTCCCACACCTCGCTATCATCTGATGTCATGTGACCTTCCAACATTGGAAATGAAGCTGAGACAACTGTGCATTGTTTTGGCTCTGCTTTGTTTTGTTTTCAATTTTCTTGCTAACTCAGAAACATAGACTTGGGAGCTTTCCTCGTGTGTCCCAGCAAAGGCCATGAGAGTGGCCTGAGCATGAGAGGAAGGGACTGATCCCTGAAGACGCCAGAATGGAAAGGCAAGGAGGAACGGAAGGGCCCCAGAGAGAACAGCCAAGGGGAGGATGTGAAACGGCCACAACAGGGAGGGGTGACCTGGGAAGCTAGTGGACGTCAAAGTGGGAATGCCAGCAGGCAGGTATGCTGGCCACATGCCTGAAACCAGCGCAGCCCCCAGGAAATGAGACCCTCACTCACCCAGCTGCTTGTCTAAGACCCTGGGACACCTCCCTGACTCCTTCCCATCTCTCCCTGGTTCCCCCATCCCCATCACCAAGGCCTGCCTCTGTCCCCCTGAAGCTGTCTCCCACCTGTCCGCTTCTCCTCATGTGGTGCCTGGTCCATCCCACCTGGACTCCTCTCCAGCGCTGCTGATCTCCCTGCAGCCTGCCCCACTGTAATGAGCCTGTGCTCACTAAAATGCAGATCAAACTGCTGAGAGCCTCTGAGCAGTGAACCGCCAGCTTCACCCGGACCGCAAGACAGACAGACACACAGACACAAACAGGACATCCTGAGAGGAAAGTGGTTTCTTCATCCCCCTCAGGATGAGCTCACAGCTGGTTCATTTCAATGGCTCCCTTCCACCTGCCCTCTCCCAGCCTCCACCTCCAGCCTCCTGAACCCTTTCAGAGTCACCTCAGGGCCTTTGCAAGCCCCGTTTATCCCACTCAGAAGGCCCCTGACCCATCCCGGCACCTGGTTGACCCCGCTCACCCTTCCCCTCTCACTGGCTTCTGATTCCCCACCCGAGAGGGGGCTTCCCTGGACCCCTCCTAAGCATCCCCCGTCGCTGCTCATTGCGACCCCTCATTGATTGAGGCCCCCACCAGATTGGACGCCCTCTGAAGGTGAGGGCTGTGTCTGTCACCGCTGATTCTAAGGACCTGGACGAGAGGTCAGGGGACTGGAGGGCTCGTCACTTTACGTTGAATTATTGAAAGAACGACAATGGATGAGAGTGCTCGGCCTTGCGACAGGAGACTGGTGCTTTCAAAAGGACAGAGAAGGGGGAGGACAGACGTCACTCTGAGGGTCCCTGAGGGGGAGGGCCGGGGACAGGCCAGCGGAGGGCACTGAGGAGCGGCAGCGGCTGCGGGGGACCAGCCCGAGGGCGAGCCCAGCTGCGCCGCCGCCTGGCGTTCGGCTCTGCACTCCGCTGCCCCCCGCGTCCCGGGTCCCCGCAGCCCGGGGTCTACAGCTCCCCTCTCCCGGTTCCCCGCGCCCGCCCTGCGCAGAGACGCCCCCACCTGCCGCCGC